GTGAGAGTATGGAGCTCCTACGGAGGGCGGATGTGGGGCAGTCCAGGGCCTGGCAGGCCGCTGACCCCTCTCCCCTCCCTGGGCTCAGCACCCTCTTGCCCCCCACTTCGAAGCTCAAGGACGAAGATTTCCCCAGTCTCTGCACCTCCACTTCCTCCTGCTCCACAGCAGCAGCCCCGGGTCCCATGGGGCTGCCACTGGTGTACCCTGTTCCTGCCAGGGGCAGGAACACCTTCCAGGAGGATGACTTCCCTGCCCTGGTGTCCTCCACCTCCAAGCCCAGCACAGCCCCCACCAGCCTCATCTCTGCCTGGAATAGCAGCAGCAGCAAGAAGGTGGTACAGCCCACCCCAGGGTCCCAGGCTGCCAGCGGGGGCAGTCAACCCCCCAGGAAGGCTGGGAAAGGGGTTAAGGGAAGCAAGAAGGGTGGACCTCCCGCCATGGAGGAGGAAGAAGAGGAGGATAGTCGCACTGGCCTCACTACCCAGGAGCTACGGAGCGTGCCCACTACAGTTGCTGTCTCCTCCCTGCTAGCACTAGCCACTACCCAGACCTTCACCAAAGTTGGCAAGAAGAAGAAGGTGGGCTCTGAGAAGCTGGGTGCTGCACCACCCCTGCCACTTCCCGCTGAAAATGTTGGGCCCCCTGGTGCTGAGCACGCCACCATGGGCAGAGCTGAGGGGCCAGTTGCTGTCATCGTCAATGGACACACAGAGGGGCCAGGCCCCGCTCGGAGTATCCCCAAGGAACCCCCTGGGCTCCCACGGCCCCTGGGACCCCTCCCCTGCCCCACACCACAGGAAGATTTCCCAGCGCTTGGCAGTGGCCCCTGCCCACCCAGGAAGCCCCCTCCCCCAGGTAGGTGCACCTGGCTCATCGGGTCTGCTTCTGAACATCTGGGAAAGGGCTGGGGTAGTAGGGTCAAGCTGGATTCCCCCAGGTCCCAGGGTTATGTTGTACAAGCAGACAGGACTGTAGGTGGGGAGAGGTGAGCCTGTGCAGTGGTTTCCAGCTGCCTCAGAAGCATAATGGAAGTCCAGGTACAGATGCCACCATCTGTTAACAGCATGACCTTGGTCCACCGCTTAACCTCTCTGTGTTCCTTTTCTCCACGTAAAACCAGGCAGTCCTAGCACCCCCTCTCAAGATGAAGGCAAATGAGTTAACTTAAGCCAGGATTTGCCACAGAGGAGCACAGCGTGTGTGCTGGCTCTGGGCCTGCCCTTCAGGGGAGTTGCGGTCTGCGGATGGAAGCCTGACCTGGGTGGTCTGGGCAGCCTGTGGAAAGTGAGGGATGAGGTCTGGCTCTCCCTAGCCAGTGAGGGTCATTATCTGGGTCTTGGTGTGCCACCCCTACAGGCTTCAGCACTGTGGTGCTCCCGAAGGGCACTCCACTCCCACCTCCACCGGGTCTGGTGCCCCCAGTCAGCAAACCACCCCCTGGCTTCTCCAGCCTGCCCAGCCCCAGCCCGACCTGTGTCCCCAGCACTACCACCACCACAAAAGCGTAAGTGTGGTGGGCTGTCCAGCCTTGTGCCCCGTGGGGCCAGGGAAGAATGCTTTCACCTTGAGCCACCCCAAAGACTGAAGTGTCCCATCTACCGACCCTCAGACCCAGGCTGACACCAGCACCCCGGGCCTACCTGGTTCCCGAGAACTTCAGGGAAAGGAATCTCCAGCTCATCCAGTCCATCAAGGACTTCCTGCAGAGTGACGAAGCCCGCTTCAGCGAGTTCAAAAGTCACTCGGGGGAGTTTAGACAGGTCAGGCCAGCAAGGGGAGACAGCGGTGGGAGCGGGGGTGCAGCCTGCCACCTGGGGCCCAGGCCTGGGCCAGGGGTGACTGAGTCTGGCTTTGGGTGGCAGGGCGTGATCTCTGCAGCCCAGTATTATAAGAGCTGCCGGGACCTGCTTGGGGAGAACTTCCAGAAGATCTTCAATGAACTGCTAGTGCTTCTGCCCGACACAGCCAAGCAGCAGGAGCTGCTGTCTGCACACACAGACTTCCGAGGCCAAGAGAGGCTTCCCAGCACCAAGGCCAAGAAGAACAAGAAGAGTGCGTGGCAGGCCAGCACCCGGCAAGTGGGCCTGGACTGCTGTGTGTGCCCCACCTGCCAGCAGGTGCTTGCAAATGGTGATGTCAGCAGCCACCAGGCTCTGCACACTGCCCGGGATGATGACTTCCCCTCCCTGCAAGCTGTTGCCAGGACCCTCACATAGCTCCTGTTTTATGGGCAAGAGCAGCCACACCCATGAGCCTCCTTTGTGTCTCTTCCTCTTCCTGGGCTGCCAGGCAGCCAGGTAAGGCCCTGGTGAGGCCACCTGTTCAGGCTCCTTGGTTGGCCAGCCGCCAGAGGTCACGACAGCCCACCCCACTGTATCAGCACACTGTCAGGCAGGAGTCCATCTGGTTTCCTCTTGGGAACTGGGTAGATACCCCTTCCTTGGTGGTGGGCCAGTCTTGGTTTGTATCTCATGATTTTGGGAAGTGCCCCTAGAGGGAAGGGCTGGGATGCCAGGATTTGTCCCTGCTGTCCGAGCCAGTGGCCACAGCGCCTCAATCTGGGACCTCCTGAGACTGAGGGCTGCAACACCCTGGCAGGAGTAAGATGTTGAGTGTGTTGTGTAAACAGTTTGCTGTTTCATGATTCAAGAATGTTCAGGATTAAAAGCAGACACAAAATTGTGCTACTTGAAGTTAAATCTTTCTAAGAGATAAGCTGAATCTGAGATCTCAAATTGCTTCTGACCTTTTATAAAAGTTTATCTTCAAATAAATTTATTTTGCAATAATGCACATAGCTGGCGTCTGAGCTTCTCTGCCTTTTGAGGTTACTCAGTAGCAAGGGGAACTTGAGTCTTTACACATTACAGCTTGGGTGGTCACCCAGTAGAAGGCGGCCTGTGGGGGAGTTGGGCAGCTGGGGTTTGCTCACAGTAAGCAGAAGCCAACCTAAGGTCCCAATCCTGGAGGTCTGGAACTGCCCAAACCTTCCAGGAATAGCCATGCTTGACCAACATTTTGTACCCAGTGAAACTATACTTCCAGAATGTGAGAGGTATACAAACAAGGTTTACTCCATAGATGGGTGAAAGAGCCACTAAAGATGAACTTCAACAAGAACAATTTAGAAACAGTGGGCAGGGGGTTGGGGGGCACATCTAAATATCTAAGAAAATTAGTGACTTAATGTTTTGAAAGAGAACCAGACACTGAAATCCCTTTCTGCCCCAAACATATAATTAGGAAAAAGTTCTAAATACATAACCACATCCAAATAAGGCAAAGGAAACATACTTTGAAAAAATGGAGATGTCTTTCTAAAGCAGAAGGGGACACCCATGGTGGTGAAGGCCAAAGTCAGTGGCCTAAAGAGGGACGAGGCCAGAGCCATATGGCTGCACTGTCACTGCCTGCCTGAAGCTGAGGACTTGCAGGGTACAGCTTGCCTACCTGTGCTGGCACCAGAGTGATGTCCCTGGGTGATGACCATACTCAGTGACCCCTAGGAGAGAAGAGCCTCCACCTCCTTCACCCTCCACGGGGCAGTGCGTTGGAGGCCGCAGAGGCCGCACGAGGAGCACTTCCCGCCACACACTAGGAGCACCTCGTAGCCAATACCCTCTTTGCAGACCTGAGCACAACCACAGAAGAGTGATCTGGAAACTGGGATATTGCGTTAATGATACTGAAATGATACTTAACCTATTAAGACTATCCTATCCACAAAACTAGGTGACACTTTAGTTCTGGCTGTGTGAAGAGCACTGCTTTGAGCTCTTCACATGTTAACATGTGGCTTACACATGTTATCTGTCCCACCCTATATGATAGGAACTATTATCCTTTTACAGAAGAGGAACCTGAGGCACAGACAAGAGACTTGCCCAAGATGACCAATGTGGCAAAGGCAGCATTCCAGCTCCAGAGACAGTTCTTAACTTTTCACTTAACCAGGACTTTATTAACCAATTAGAAATCTTAGAAATAAAAAACTGACAAAAACAGTTCAGTTGAAAAGAAAAGAAGACCAAGCTGGGAAAATCTCCAAAGGGCAAGCTGGTCATAGAATGTGACTCTGGAAGCTGCATGGTACACCTGGTGGTGGTCCCACCACCAGTAGTAGGTGGTGAGAAGGGGACATTCGGAGAAATCATGAGTGCTTTTCCCCAGCAGTGAAGAACTATTTTTAAAAAAAAGCACTAAGGATAAACTTTTTTAAAAATTTATTTTTAGAGAGGGGAAGGGAAGGAGAAAGAGAAGGAGAGAAACATCGATGTGTGGTTGCTTCTATGCACACCCCCTACTGGGGCCTGGCCTGTAACCCAGGCATGTACCCTGACTGGGAATTGAACCAGCAACCCTTTGGTTCACAGGCCGGCACTCAATCCACTGAGCCACACCAGTGAAGGCAGGATAAATTTTTTTAAGCCACATCTAGACACACAACTTAGGAAAAAAATTATTACCAACATGACAGATAAGCTACAAAGGAATGCAAATTGTACTGTTATCACTGCTCTCATTAGCAGTGTAAGATCCAAAATTTCTAAGGAAAATGACTTAATGTTCATATACCCAGTAAAACTATCCTTCAAGAACATGGGAGTAATATAGACTCAAAGTTTACATCCATTGACTGATGAAGAGCTACTAAAGATATACTCCCACAAGAAATATTTAGTTATCCTGCTATTATAAGAGGGATAAAAGAGATGGAGACCAGCATTTCAGAGAGCCAGCTCTGAGCAATTCAGTTCCAACCCAGTGTGATGTGTGGTGAGGGGCTGGTGGACCTGGAGGACTCCGTGAACATGGAGGTCAGCCTGGCCTCCACCTCCTAGATTCTTGGCCCTGGGGCCCTTTAGATCCTAGCTGCTGCCACTGAGAGGGGTAGGGGTAGAAATGAGCCCAACAGCATCTAGGCCACAATAAACTCATTTACAGTGGTTTGGGGTTGTTTTTTTAATATTTTATTTATTTATTTTTAGGGGGGGAGGGACAGAAAAAGAGAGGGAGAGAAACATCAAGGTGTGGTTGCCTCTTGCATGTCCCCTATGGGGCCCACAACCCAGGCATGTGCCCTGACTGGGCGTCAAACCAGCGACCCTTTGGTTTGCAGGCCAGCACTCAATCCACTGAGCTATACCAGCCAGGGCTACAGTCTTTATTGTAAAGAACTTGCAGTTGGAACATGGGGCACTGAAAATACACAATCACAGATTGTTCTTTCAGAGGACAGGAGGAGAGATCCATATATACAAAAGTTGTAAACATGTTCACTTAAATATCCACACATAATTGATCTATGCTACAATGAACAGGGTTGTCACTCAACTGCAACTCCAGAGGGAGGTGTCTGTCTGTAAGAATGAAATGTGGCAACCGCATCTGGTATAATGTGAAAAGCCAGCTTTGAGCAATGCATGAGTAGTCAGCTATACAGAATGACCTCAACCTTCAACTGGGCCTTAAAATGGGGTGCAGGGTGGGGAGTTGCAGGACTGGTCCAGGAAGCCAAAGTAAAGAGGTTTGCACAGAACAGTGTCTCCAGGGCACCCTGGGCAGATGTAGCTTCTCTCCTCTCCAGGGGCTTGTCTTGCCAGGCACGCAGGTGTCCCAAGCCTCCCTTGGGTAAGGTCTTACTAAAGGGCTGAGAGAAGGCTGGTGCCCAGGCCTATAGCCATGCTGTGCCTTCCTGGCCAGAGCCACTCACTCAGTCAGAGGCCTGGGGCATGGCATGGAAACTACCAGGTGAAACTTGAAGACCACAATCACAACATCAAGGCCAGGCTACTCTATGAGCAGGTGAGAGGAAATGGAAGGAGGCTCCAGAGAGCGCAAATGGCCCCACGGGGTGAACCACCGTGACAAGAACAAGAAACTGTCACTACCCATGGTGACATGGGATGGGGAACAGTGGCCATTGGCCATGCTCCCTGGGTCATGGCATGGGGGTGGAGGCAGTATCACTGCCCCCGGCCTGGGGCAAGCCCTGCACCTGGCTATGGAGGACAGCTGGATCCCTGCCTCCAGAGTGGACAGGTGAGCCCTAGGCTGGCTGCCCCATGAGGGGAATGGCCCCCTGCCCAGGCTGATCCACTGGAGGCTGGAGCACACATGTCCAGGGCTGTACTGTCCCCTCCTCAAGATCTCAGGCCTGGGGCTGGAGATTAAAGGTATGGGGGATTTGGGGGGTACAGCCCTGGCATCCTGGAGGCTATCCTCTCTTGGTCCAAGACGTCCCACAGTGGCTACACCTCCATCCCTGGAGCTGGACCAGGACCTGAGGGAGGTCACAGGAGGCCTTGGGCCCTGCATTGGTGGGGCAGCCATCCAGCTCTGGTTTGAGCCCGCCAGCCACTAGTAGGCGGGCACCTGGTATCCTTTGGCGCTGGTATCCAGGGTCTCGGTGAAGGGCGGGCTCTGGTAGGTCTCGGTACCCTCCACACCACTGCCCACTGGGTAGCCGGGGTAGGCCTGGCCCGCCCCAGTGCCCAGCTGTTCGGTGGCAAAGAGTGACATGTCGGTGCCTAGGCGGAACCGCTGCAGGGCCTTCACGGTGAGTGCCACCTGAGGAGGAGCCTGGGGTCAGCCAGAGAAGACTCAGCCTGGCCTGGCGCTCACCACCCGCAGGCCGCACTCACCCAACTGAGGATGGAGAAGAAGCTGAAGGTGATGGCGGCCCGCGCTGCGTCTCCAGCCTGCGTGGTGCCTGGCCCGGGCGCTGTGCGCTGCCACTGGTTGGTAAGGAAGCAGAAGCCCACAAACCACAAGAAGGACCAGAGTGCTGCGGGCGAGCGACTGGGTTAGGGGCGCTCCACTGTTAGACTGTCCTTAATTGCTGGGAACAGGCTTCCGGAAACATGGAGGCCCAGCCCAGACCTGTCCCTATCCCACCCACTGCAAAATCACGGGGCCCTCCAGCGGCCCTGCACCCTAGAAGCCCCCAGGCTCTCCCCTTCCCGGCCTGCCTCTCTCCACCCGGCCACACCCACCTGAGAAGCCCAGGTCCAGCAGCACCGCGCGACGGCGGTCACGGACGCTGCTGATCTGCTGGAAGCGCATGTCCAGCAGGAGGAAGGCGGCGCAGGCGAGGAAAGCCCCGAGGCCGAGAGTGACGCCAAAACGACAGGCACCTGCGTTCCCGTTAAAGACGCAGCGCAGCTCCGGACCACTCTCGGAATTCACGTAACCCTCGTTGACAATGGGCCCGAAGACTGCGATGGAGAACACCTGCGGGCAGCGGGTGGCGCTCAGGCCCTGGCGGTGGCGCCCCTCCCTGCCGAGGACTGAGCTCTCCGTGGGCCACCGCAAATGGCCACGGCTTTGGGATTGTCTCTGCATTCCCTGCCAGCCCAGGGCCCCTGTCTCTGGGGGAGGGTCTTTGGGTACTCTTCCCTTAATACCTCCCTCAGTTATTTAGTAGTTATGGACAACATGTACCATTTAGCAAGCAACTCCTATGTCCAGGCACTGTGCTTAAAACTGCTACTTTACATGCGTTCACTCAGAATCCTCCCAGAAAGTCGCAAAGGTGCCATTCATTGTTCTTATTCTCTTTACAGAGGAGGAAATTAGGGCTCCAACAGGTGAAGTGATTTGTCTGAGGTCCCATTGCTGATAAGAGCCAGGGCTGACATTCGAGCTGGGTCTTCCACACTGCATGGGGCTGGTAGTGTCTCCTCACAGCTCACTCAAGAGTGTGGGAACAGGAGCCTTCACCTGGACCAGTGATTCCAGGCTTGAGCCGGTGGTGGAGGGGAGGTAGGTATGGAGCTGGGAGAGAGAGGCCAGAGTGTAGGGGGTGCACCAGAGGGGCAGCTGCACACAACTGTGGGCCAGGCCCTGTGTGGGACCCACCCTCAGCATTTATGAGCTGTGCAGCCCTGTTTCCTAGCACATTATATGTAATCACAGGTTCAGTTCATGGGATGTTGGGGAGAGAAATAATGCCCACACAGCATCCTATACTTGTGGACACTCAAGGGATGATGACCCCACATTACTATGATTAATTATTAATACCACACATAAAAGTGTTTGGGCTTAAAAGGCGACAGGATTGACCTCTGCATTTCAGTTAAGCACCAGCACCCTTGTTGCCACAAGGGCTGGAAGGCAGGTAGGAGGTGGACCGTGGTCAGTTTAAACCAGGTGCTGTTCTTTTAGCTCTGGGCAGGCCTATGTCTCAAAAAAAAAAAAAAAAAAAACCAACAAAAAACAAAAAAACAAACCTCTCGTTTAATTTCATTTCTCTCCTTGCCAACCCGGGAACCTAGAGACTTGGTCAAGAGGGAAACTGAGGTGCCGGACATGGATTTGTACCCCAGGAGTGGTCCACAAGTTGAACCAGAGCGGAGACTGGAAGGTAGGGTTCCTACATCCTGGTCTGGCCAGAGTAACTCCCCCCAAAAGGCAGTGGCCCCCTGCAACACCCTGGGCACCGCCCTACTCTAAAACCAGCCAGTAGGTGCAGCTACCACCAACTGCTACCACCAGAACTCAGCACCCTACCTCCCATCTCTCCTACTTGGAGGAGTGGAAAGGAGGAGCAGGCCACCAGTCTAGGGATGCCTCAGTAGCTAGACTGTCCCCAAAATCTGCCCCTCCCACACCACCTCCAGTCAGCCTTCCCAAAGCAGAACCCCATCTGGCTGCCCCACCCAGGGTACCGGAGCACCTCCCAACTCACAGATGCAACTGGGGGACCTGGGAAGGGCCAGCTCCCTTCAAAAGAGCGTGGAGGATATGTGTGCAGGAGAAGCAGGGGAAAGGCTCTGCCTGATCCTCTCCGCACCTGTAGCCCCCTCCTGGGGCTGAGACGATGGCCGGATTCCCTCCGCGAATCCCGTCCCACCCCTGTGCCCGCTTCCAGGTCATGAGAACAGGAAAAAACGGAGCGAGGACTGAAAAAAGGGACAGTTAAACCTAAAGAGGAATTGCGGGGGAGGGGGCAGCGAGCGGTGACCTCTCAAGGTCCCAGGTTGTTGTTGCCGACCCCTCCCCCACCCGCAGGTGGGCGCGCCCAGCCGGGTGACGTCACCCCAACCTGCGGGTGGGAGGGGGAGGGGGCCGGCGAGGAAGAGGATGGGGGTGAGGGGCAGGGCGGTGGGACAAGGAATGCAAGGCGAGGTAGGATCAGGTACCGGTGTAGGGGCCACTCACCCAGGACACGACCCTCAGCAGAGTCTGGGGCCGCTTCGCGAAGCTCACGGGATCCAGGGCAGTACCCGCACGGCCCGCACCGAACGAAGCTCCTTCCATGGCCAGCCCCAGCAGGCGGGAGCACCCCGGGTGCCTTCAGTCCCTCAGTCCGTTAGGCCGTCAGGCCCCGAGACCACCCGGGGCTGCTGCGGAAGCTGCTGGTGCTGCCTCTACCTCTAACGCCTCCTGGGAGCGCGCACTGGCTATAGCGGGGGCGCGCAGGGCGGGGCCGAGCCCGCACCCCCCACCACCAGCTCTGGTCCACGCACCCAGCTAGAGCCCTCCCGCCCCTCAACCCCGCCCTCCTTCTACCCCTCCAACGCTTAGCGGCAGGACTCGCCCATCACAATCATGGAGCAGGGGCAAGGGGCTGGGGCGCCCACTGCCCCTCACAAGGAGTCAAGCAGTACAGGCTGACATTGGGCTCCGCCTTTGCTGTAGCGGAGCGGGTGTACTGAGGGGACCTGACCTCACTCTTCTGAGCAGGACCTTTTTATGAATGTGTAACTGAGGCCGGTGGGCTCCAGTGTCTTCCCCCAAGCCCTCAGGAAAGGGGAACAGGGCACTCTGGGGCTTTTCCCCCATGACCCCCTACTGTACCCTAGCTTCTTCAAACGGTTCTAGCCTTCCGGACAGGGAGAATGGCCTCTCACCCTAGGGGCACTTGTCCAGGTGGGCAGAGCCCACAGGCCAGTACCGGTGGGAGCTGGGCTGTCTCTGCTCCTTTCCTCTGTGTGGCCAGATGTCATTTCAAGGATGTTCTGAGTCTTCAACACCCTGGGTTTCCTGGACTAACTCATGGCTGAGTGTTTAGTTTGAGACCAAGGAGTGTGGAGAAACACCAGAGATAGTTCAGCTGAAATGGGACTTACCAGCCCTGTGCCACAGATCCTTGGCCCCCAGTTAGACCATGTCCCTTTCTTCAGTTTCCTTCCAGCCCAGCCCCAGGACCCCCAATGACCCTTATGTTTCTATCTAGGGCGTTGATAAGACAAGTCTGCATTTGTTGAGCATTTACAGTGCAAAGTACTTCACAATGACCTGTGACGGGGGGCAGTGGGTAGGGACTATTATCACTCCCATTTCTCAGGTGGTAAATAGGCAGGCTGGTTAAGTTCCTGGATCATAGAAGTGAAGAGCTTGGACTTAAGTCCAGGTCCGTGTCATGGTTTCTGCAGACAGAGGGTGGTGCCTGGCCCAGCCCCTTGGGGAACCCATACTAGGGCAGGTGTGGTCAGAGGTGCTGCCGACCAGTCAAGTGCCTTACACTGTGCATCGAGTCCTACCACCTCTCACCTGCCAGTAACTGTTCTGTCTCCGGTACCATCCATTTGCCCCTTTTACTTAATCATTTGCATCAGCACCCAAACAATGGTACACTTTTTTCTATGTTAACAAACATCCATTCTTGACTCCCAATTCCCCTCCAGCTGTCCCATGTCACTGCTTGCTCCTTTTAGTCCTGGGGCAATTCAGATGCTGAGGTCTCCACCCTCCTGGAAAGGCTTCTTAGATGTCTCCCTCTCCTCATGTTCCTCTCACTTCATATGCCCTTTCTTGTTACCCCTTTCAGGTTCCCTCCTCTTGTCCAACCTGTGACCATCAAGCTTTAGGGACCCCAGGACATGATCATGGCTCTTGTCTCTCTATGCTCACTCTATTGGACTAAGTGCTGACAGCTCCAGCCAGAACCTTCCTTGAACTAGAGTCCCACTTAGCCTGGTTGCCCTGAAAAACAGTCTGTGGCAGAGTTTAACAGTCTGATTTGTAGGGGCGGCGGGGGGCGAAACCTCAGGGAAGCCAGAGTTAGGAAACAAGGGAAGTGAAGCAGGGAAGAAGAGAAATAGAGGAGGTCTGTTCCTGACCTGACCACAGTGACTCAGACTACTCAGGAAAGGCCAGAGAGAACTGTGCTGGGGACAGTTCATCTGGGGAAGGAAGAGCAACTTTCTCCTGGCTGTTCCCTGTTTCTTTGTGTCACTTGGCCCCTCAGAGTACCACCTTGTGGAAGCCAGAACCACTGTGAGAACAGTCAGATGAAGGTGCTGAGGAAGCTGTGGCACATCGTGCCCTTTGCCCAGGGAGACGCTGAAGCACGATGGGGATGGAGGCGACTGGAGCTTTCTGACTACAGGGATGGGACACACTGCTGCTGAGCAATTCCAGCTGGGAGCCAAGGCCCTTGGAACAGGCGTAGCTGAGCAGATCAGAAAGGATCAAAAGTGGAGTCCAGGGCACCCCCAAACCTGCTCCACTCAAAGAGCCATCTCCATCTCACTGAAACACACAGCAACTCCAGCCTTAGTTTCTTGGGCCAGAAACCGTGTAACCTTTGGCTCTCCCTCTTGGCTGTACCTTCGAATCTGGTGGCATCCTCTCCCATCCACCCTGGGGCCAGCTTCCCACTCAGCTGCCACGTGGGTGCCTGCCCTCCCTGCTTCCATCCATGTCTGCCTCATCCCAGATCAGAAAAACCTTTCAAAAGTCACAGCTCAGCCCTGGCTGGGTAGCTCTCAGTAGGTCTGATATGCCAAGGTTGTGGGTTTAATCCCCAGATACACACAAGCAGCAACCAATGAATGCATAAATAAGTGGAAGAACAAATCAATGTTTCTCTCTCTCCCTTCCTCTTTCAAAAAAAAAAAAAAAAGTGAAGTTCCTATTTAAAAAAAAAACAAAAAAAACAAAAAGGCCCTGGCCAGGTAGCTCAGTTAGAGCACTGTCCCAATACACCAAGGTGGGTCTGACCCCCCAGTCAGGGCACATGCAAGAATCAACCAACGACTGCATAAATATGTGGAACAAATCAATGTTTCTCTCTAGAAAAAAAGTCCCATCTCCCCATTCCTTGGCTCCAATTCCTCCAAGACCTTCCTGTCACAAAAGCCAGGTGTTATGCCCTGGCTGGTGTGGCTCAATGGTTCGAGTGTTAGCCTGTGGACTGAGAGGCTGCTGGTTTGATTCCTGGTCAGACACATGCCTGGGATGTGGGCCAGGTCCCCAATTTGGGGTGTGCAAGAAGCAACCAATCAATGTTTCCCTCCCTCCCTCCCTCCTTTCCCTTCTCTCTAAAAATAAATAAATAAAATTATTTTAAAGCTAGGTGTTAAAACCATGTCCTTGGCTCTGGCCGAGTAACTCGGTTAGAACATTATCCCGATATGCCAAGGTTGCAGATTTGACCTCTGGTCAGGGCACACACAAGAATCAACAAATGAATGCATAAATAAGTGAATCATCAAATCAATGTTTTTTTCCCCCTTCCTTTTTCTCTTAAAAAAAAAATCAATAATAAAAAAAATTAAAAACTCCACATCCTTGCTGAGGCCTTGAAAACTTCATGCTGACTCCCCCTTACCTCTCTGACAAACCTCCTTCAGCTTGAGGAACTCACACCTCCTTGCTGTTCTGGAGCATCCTGGCTCACTCTTGCCTTGAAACATTTCCTTTCTCCTTAGGAGCCAGAACCCAGACACGAGGAAGGAGCTGACCACAGAGGGGTGAAGGCAGGCCCTGTCCCTCACTGCAAGTCCCAGCACAAAACACACTGAAGTCAGGTTCTCTGTCACTTCTTCAGCATTTTATTTTTGTCTCACGCTCCAAGGAAGCTGGCTCCAGGAAGCCTCTGACAAGCCTAGAAGGCAATGTACTAGACAGAAAATGGGCTGCAGGTTCAGACCCTCAGAGAAGAACCCTGCCTGCGCTTTCTCTCCCTATAGGGACTGAGGGTGGAAAGCTTAGTCCCCAGGCCTCTTTCCTGAATTACAAACAGCACACAGCCTCTGGGTCTACAGTCACCACTGTTGTCCCTAGCTACACACCTGGGAGACAATGACCTGGTCTTGAGGTCATTGAGGTTTTGTGGGACAGGGGAGCCCAGCCAACCCCATCACCTTCCTGTGTGGGGAAGTGGGCACCAGGGTGTGAGGTGGGCAGGAGGCTGCATCCAGAACAGAAGGGATAGCCTGGGCTGTTCCTATTCCTTAACCTGCAGTCCCACAGGGCATCGGCTGAGGAGGGGGCCATCAGGGTGCCTGCAGCAGGCACCTCCACTTCAATCTGAGACCTAAGAAGCAAAGTGCCCTATGGGCAGTGTCTGGGGACCACCCAACACACACACACAGCAGCCCCTGGCTCTGCTGCACTTTAATAAGTGCCCTGCCCCTCTCTAGCCAGGGAGCCCCATGGTCTTCGGCTAGCCGCCCTCTAGTCGCAGGAGCCATCCTTCCAGCCGTCACGCCAGCGCTCATCCACTTTAGAGCAGTCGAAGTCTGGCTTGCCTAGCTTGTGGTTCACCTCGTTGTGCAGGCGGCACAGCCACTGGGTTAAACAGGCCCGTGTACGCGTGTCTGGCTGGTTCCTACATATCCTGCATGGTCAGAAGCACACAGAGAATGAGGGCAAACAGTGGTCCCACTGCCCCTGCCCTGCCAGCTAGCTCCTTGCATACTCAATCCAGGGAAGAGATGGGATGGGCTATGAGCTACACCAAGTTGTGCCCTCAAGTTCTGAGAGACAGTAATTCCCAAAACAGGATAGCTCTGTAGCATCCAGGAGTGGTGGACTCCTAGGCTTGCTTAAAACCCCACTTGGGGAGCTTGTTAAACCCTGATAAGAGCCCAGGGTAAGACATTAACATAGACCAGATAACTTTACAACCTCATAACAATCAGGATGTTTCATCCCAGCTTCCCCAGCCCCAAGCAATGTATGGAAAGGGAAAGTATAGGGCCTGCACAAAAGCGTAACTAAAAACCAGGCCTGTTTCTTAGCACATGGGGCCTTGGTGCCTCAACTCAGCAAGAGCTCTTGTAACTGACCACACTTCCAACATCAAGAGCTGCTCTGCCCCGCCCCGCCCCCCCCAATCTAGCTCAGAAACACCTATGGGTGTCAAACAATGGTTCTTGGGCTAACAAGCCACAGGGTCTTGTAAGCAAAAGCAGTGATTTTTCAAGGTCTTGAAACAAGCCATCCTACTCTGGAAGTAAGGCAAAGTGGAGTCCTCCTTAAAACTCTTGGATCCTCCATTGGTTCCTAAGCAAGAGACCTCTTGAGGGAAGCCCTCCCTCCAGGCCAGTGGCTGCAGAAAGCAGTAGAGCCCAGGAGCAGCCCCAGGCTGCTTGGCTTTTGATGGCTCAGATGATCCAGTCCCAACTCTGTTGGTGTTCCCTGCTCTTGGCAACCCTCTGCCAATCTCTGCCATCTCTGCACCTATTTCTCTGAGATCTCCTTTATATCAGTCAGGGGCCCCAGGCCGACCTCCTGGTAGGATGCTCTGCTGACTGGAGACGATAGAGAATAACTTACCTCTTCCTTATATCTTCGGCACACTCCTCACAGGGGTAAAACTTGGAAAATAAATGTATGAACTGAGCCATGTCTTGCTGCTGTTCTGGGGTGGGCAGGTCAGGGTAGTAGGCAGCCAGAGTGTGAAGGACAGACCAGCTGTGGCGGCCCAGTTCCTCACGATCCTGAGGACAATCTTCCCTAAACTTGCTGTCCCGCTGCAGAAGGAGGGCCGACCAAGGGTCAGTTCAGTCTCCCCCGACCAGAAGCCTACAAAGGTCCCCTTTTCCCCTCCCCAGCTGGAGGCCCGCTGACTCCAGACTTTAGTCCTGCAGCAGATCCGGCCCACGTTGAGTGTGAAAGCCGAAAGGCCGGGGCTACCTTGGGAGCAAGGTTCAGGAACAGCCAACCCAGGGGGGGCATAAGTCTTTCAGACATAGGACCTGTGGGACCGCTCAGTCTGGGCGTTGGGAGGTCTGCCTGGGGAGCCTGAGAACAAGGTGTCGGGGCCAGGGGCAGGGAAGGGAGTCATGTGCGGGCCGGGGCTAGAGGTGGGCAGGGCTCGCGAGCTTCTGCGGAGAGGTAGCGCCCCCAGGCATCTGCACCTTCTGCTGCGTCCGCATCCAAGACTTGAAATCCACGCAGGCACGGCAGGGCCGTCTCCGGGAGATGTCCTCGGGGACCTGAGAGTCGGGGGTCGGCGCTGGGGTTGGAGTCGGGGCCGAGGCGGCGGCAGTATCTCTCCGTCCCGCGCCCCGGCCGCGCGCGTCCGTCACCACATCCTCCATTGCTTCGGAGCGCGCGCCGCCGGGCAAAAAGGAGAAGAGATTCCCACCGCGGAAGCTCCCCCGTTCACTGGGCGCCGCCATGTTGCCCGCGCAGTGGCTGCCGGGCCAGCTCGGCCTCCAGAAGGATCTCCACGTCGGCCTCCAGGCCAGCGCGCGCGCAGCCGCCAGGGCGCGGCCACAGGAGCCGGGCGCGCATGCCGCAGGCTCGGGCGGGGAGGCCGGGTTGGGGATAGGACTGGGGTCGGAGTCCCGCGTGGAGGCGGGGTCCAGCGTGGAGGTGGAACTGGGAGCCGGGGCCCGCACTCGGGAGGAGGCAGAGTTCGAGGTCCGGGTTCTGGCCAAGGACGCGCCGGAGGTCCGGGCCGGGGCGGAGGCGGGGCCAGAGGCCCGGGTCCTGGCCACACGCCTGGACCTAGTTCCTTTACCCGAGCCCGGCTTTTGTCCTTCATGGCGAGGCTCTCGCTTCCTCCAGCAGAAGAGCAGAGTGTTGTGGAAGGTGCGCCGCGGCCGCGCCGTGGACTTGGTCTGCGGCCGAGACGAAGTCCGTGTTGCGGCCCTCGACGACCCCATCCCTCCCGCTGTGACCGTTCCGTGTGCCAGTGGCCAGGCTCTGTGCCTTCAGCTTGGGGGCACGGCCCCCAGCCGGCTGCGGGGCGCTATGGCAACGTAAGCGGGGCATTGAGCGCACAGAGGGCGGTGAGCTCTAGGGCCGGGGTCGCGGGGATCAGCCCCCGGGGGGTCGGCGCCGTGGCAACGAGCACAAGGCAAGGTAGGGTGGGACTGTGCCTGCAGAGGAGGTGGCGTGCGTCTCGGCTTCTGCATGAACCAAGCGGCCCCGGATCCTCTAGCTTGCATGGAGTTAAATCCATGTCAGGAGTGGCCTCAGGGAATACCTGTTTCCACAGGTACATTCATTCAGTCCTCAGATAATTGTTTAGTGCCTAATTTGTTCCAAGCACTGTTCTAGGAGCTGGGCAAGGCGGGGAACAAGATAAAACTGGACCTCCTCTGCTCATAGTCCAGTGGTCAAGACAAAAACAAACAAACAAACAAACAAACAAAAGAGTTATACTTTAATAAATGTTCGCTTACAAACTGTGGCGGGAGCCATAACCATAATGGGGTGGTAAATTCAGAATTCAGGTGGCCTCTTTGAGAAAGTGACCTTTAGGCAGAGACCTTAGGAAGAGGAATCAGCGAAGGAGGGCAATCAAGGACAAGGCTTTAAGGTGGGGGATCTTGGCCTCTTGCATGGGCAGAAATGTCAGTGAGACAGGACCTGGGGACCAGAGACGCAGAGGTGGGCAAGGGCCCATCAAGGACCTTGTCAGCTGTCATGGGAACTGGAAATTAATTCCAAGGACTGTCAGAAGTTACTGGACAGTTTTGTGCAGTTTTGGACAGTTTCTACCTGGTCCCATTTCTGTTTTGCCAAGATTCCTCTGGAAAGTAAACTTCATGGGAGCAAGTAAGGAGCATGGACATTGGGTGGAGGGAACTGTTGCAGTTGTCCAAATCAGAAAATGGTAGGGCCCATAGAGAGGGAGAGAATGGAAAGGATCCAGGGTTGCAGGGAATGTGGAGCAGGGTTGGCAGTTGGGGCAGTTAGGGGGGTGGGGTGTGTGGCTCAGCACCCTCCTAGGTCCCTAGCTGTTTGTAAATGGGCCCTTCCCTAGTTTCTATCCTTTGTCTTAGAGTGGAGCAGGGTCTATTCCAACCTGGACCCTGCCAGGCCAAGCACCCTCAGCACGGCTGAGGAGAGTTTGGACAGCTGGACTAAAGGCATTCTGCACATCACGTCTATGCCAGCAGGCATTCACTGTCTAGGCCAAAACCAGGAAAGGTTTGAAAGCTTCAGAAAGAGCTGTTGGAGGGACACACAAAAGCTCTTTGTCCAAGCCAGGGTGGTTCCTTGGAGGAATGCTCTAGACTCTGACTCCTCCCTGAAGGGCTTGGGGTAGGGAGGGGGTCCCAACACAGAGCTGGTTGGCCCCCATCAGGAGGAGGAACCACTATGGGTCAAGGTTAGATGGGGCTCCAGACATCTCCCCTACAAAGCAGCAGCCCAGAATTGTGGAGCACCAGGGCACACACCCTCTGGATATTCCAGAGTCTTCTCACCACTCCAGTGGGAGAATGGTCACTCCTGATCCCAGAAGCAGTGTGTGCAGTAACTTGTAATAAAGTGTAAATTCGGAGGCATCTCAAAACAGTCCTAGTCACCCCCACCCCCAAGTACTGGTGACTAGAGATGGACCACCACAGAGGGAAACCTCAGGTGGGTCTGAGGTCCAACTCTCCCAAACACACACAGAAAAACTGACATTACTCACTTAACACAAATTTCCTCCTTTGTGACTTGGAGACATTTAAGAGATTTTCCCTCCAATGGAAGGATAAAGCTATTACTGATGACAACTGTGTCAGCTCTTCAGGCAAGTTTAAAAAAAGTGTAGTGAGCCCTGGCCAGTGTGGCTCAGTGGACTGAGTGCTGGCCTGGGAACCAAAGGGTTGCTGGTTAGATTCCCAGTCAGGGCACATGCCTGGGTTGCGGCCAGGCCCACATTCAAGGGGCAAGTGAAAGGCAACCACACATTAATGTTTCTCTCCCTCTTTTTCTCTCTCCCTTCCCCTTACTAAAAATAAATATTTAAAAAATAAAGTTCCCTTGGGTTAAAAAAAAAAGAGCTCACACAGCGGGGCACACCCTAGCTGGAGGCTCTCACCAATCCCAGCACTGCACAGCACTACTGGACAGCCTGGAGGGAGGGCCAGGCCTGGCGGAGCACTTTGATGGCTCTTCCTTCTCCTCCTCCCATGGCCAGATTTGGGCAGGAGGGCCTCAGGCAGCAGTCCCAGCCTCCCCACCCTCCCACCCCGGACTTCCCGTCACTGCCTCTGTGCTCTTCCCTCCTACCCTCCAAGCCCTCTGCTCCTGTTTCTCCCCCTAGATCTTTAGGTTGGGGCCAGTGAGGAAAAAGGACACAGGGGTAGGGCAGTGCTGTAAGGACCTGGCAGGTCTGAAGTGTACACGGGAGTTGCGACCAGTCTTCCAGGAGGACTCTCGACCCATAGGCCACAGCTATGGCGGGCTCTCGGCACCCAGTGTCTGTACAAGCAACAGCTCTGGTGCAGACAGACAGGTTTCAAGTATGGTCTGGTCACTGCCAACTTCAGAAGGAGAGAGGGAGAGAGGGAGGGAGGGAGGGAGGGAGGGGAGGAGGAAAAAAGGGAATTCATGGCCCAGTCCCTCCCAGGAGCCCCCACCCTTTCCTCTAGCAGACTTTCGCCTTCTCTGTGCGCTGGTCAGACAACAGCAACACCTTTGTGCGAAGGACCTGTGACGAGTTCAGGAGGCTCCATGTGAGTGAATCTGGGGTGACCCTGACTTCCTCCCACCACATACCTACCTTCCCCCCACCCTGATAGTGCTGCCCCAATGCCCTTGCTGGCTTCTAGCCCCTAAGATCCCAGATCCCAGCAAGGGACTCCTGCCCTCCCAAGATAACCCAGTGGGCTCTCAAAGACAGATACACTGGTTCTTGCCCTTAGAAGACCCTCAAGGAGACCTTCCCAGTGGAGGCAGGCCTACTGCGCAGATCCGACCGAGTTCTCCCCAAGCTTCCAGGTCAGGCCGCTGGGATCCTGGGAGGGGTAGGGGCAGCAGCAGGAGCCTGGTGGCGGGAGCCTTGGGGCAGGGTTCCAGTCTGTCCCTGCGGTGCCTACAGGTGTATCCACATTGCTGCTGGTGCGAGGGGGTCGCACAGGCCGCGGCCTGGCACACCTGCGGTTGCTGGAGACCTATTTGCAGACACTGCTGGTGACAGCGCGCGTGTCCAGGGACCTGGTGCTCACTGGCTTTTTTGAACCACAGCCCCAGGACCTGGAGCCCTCACTGCCACCTGGCAGGTGCCTGAGTCATTCTTAACTCCCTATGGGAAGCATTTGGAGGATGGGGACAGCATGGCGGAGGAAGGGCCTAGGAGGTACAAGGCTGGTTGGACTTGTGAGTGGTGGCAATCTATCACCACACACCTCCTTCCTGCTACCACTGCCCTTCCAGCCTGGTGATCTTGCCTGTCCAGGAAGAGCCTGTACCCGGCCCTGTGAGAAGCATCGCCATAGGCAGCCTGGTGGCTCAGAGACTGCACTCCCTGCAGCCCTTCAGCACCCAGGATATCAGGGGCCAGCCCTTTGATGTACAAGTTCAGGAGGAACTACAAGTGCTGCTGCAACACCCCTCAGGTGGGGTTGGGCAGGTGCCTGGGGGCTAATCCTAACCTGCTGCCCCCAGGATCTCAGCATGCCTGGGGTTCTGAACCCCCACCCACCTCTTGTACACAGGCTGGTGGCTGGTGGCTAATGAAGACCAGCAGATGGCATGGTTTCCTGCTCCCTACTTGGAGGAGGTGGCCCTGGGCCAGGGACAAGATGGGAGACAACCCCTAGGGAGTAGGGGTATGAGACTAACCCTCCTCCCTGTGCCTACCACCACCACCAAGCAGTGTGCAGCAAGGCGAGGGTACAGGAAGCACTTGACCGAGGGGAGGGATGCCATGGAAGGACTAGGTGGCGGCAGTCCCCTAGTGTGCTTGGTCCCCATTGCAGGTGGGAGCCCAAGTGGGTTTTAGAGTGGTCCCTGGTATCAGCAGAGATCCAGAGAGCTCAGAAACAGGGATTCAGTGAGAGTCCAATGAGGGGGCTGAGATGGGAGCCCTGTGGTTAACCCCAAAGTGCCCACTCTTAGGTTCACAGTTCTGCGTTTCCCGAGCCTATGAGGGCAGTCAAGTGGATGAACTTTCAGTGCCCGCGGGGGCAAGAGTGCAAGTGCTGGAAATGTCAGACCGAGGCTGGTGGCTGTGCAGGTGTGGGACTTTAGTGGGGAGAGGAGGGACTCTAGGGGGGTGGACAGGCCAAATGCTGACTGAGCCCTACTCTCCTTGCAGGTTCAGTGGCCGCACCGGTCTTCTCCCCTCTGTACTACTGCAGCCAGATGGGCTAGGCACGTTCCTGAGCAGACCAGGGCTCCACTCTGGGGCAGAGGGTAGGCAAGACAGGGCAGGGGAAGCCCAAAGCTTCCCTGAGTGCCCTCAGGTCATGACCCTTCCCCCTGCTGTGCCCACCCACCCTCTGCCAAGTGCCATTCAGAGGTGCTGCTGCACCATCACCCGTAGGGCACTGGGGAGGGACCCATGGAGTCAGGGACCTCCTTGAAGGTATGTGGAACTGTGTGGAGGGCTATGCTCTACATCTCACAGATGGAGCAGCAGGCCAGGGGTTCCAGACCCCAGGGATGACTGATGGCAGCCATACCAACCTCAGGGCAGGGGGAGGCACCTTTGAGGTTGGGACTCCCTGGCTCGCAAGGCCAGGAGGCTATACCTTCCCATTTCATTTGAGTAAAGTTCTAATTAACCTACACCCAGTGTCCATTTTGAGGGGCAGGGCTTGTTGGATTTCAGCCAGGCCAAGGCACAGGGATGGTGCTTAGCCAAGGTTGTGGCCTGGGACCTGGGATGAGACAAAACCCAGACAGACACAGGAAGGTGGGATAGAAAAATATGTTTTAGAGGGCAGAGGAGGCTGCAGGGAGGGTGGGCAGCTTCATGTTGTGCCACAGGAAGTCTAGAAAGGTGGCTGCTTGCAGGGTCCGGTTGAGCCGCTGAAAGTGCCGCTCTAGGGGTGGATGACAGAGGCTGTCAGGGGGTCCACAAAGTCTGGCTGGGCCACTCCTGCCCCCGCCCCCCCCGCAACCCGGGGCCATGTCCATGTACCAGTGTAGGGCAGCAGGGCCTCAAGTGAGGCTCGCACACCCTCGTAGGCCAGCAGCTCTTCCGGGGCTTCGTGTTTCAGGAGCACACCCAGCACAGCCTGGGCTTCATGGCAATGCCGTGAGTTGGTGTTCCATGTGACGCAGAAGTGCAGCAAGGCCTCTGCGAGTGATGGGGATGGTCAGATCTACCTCCTGGCCAAGCCAGCCATACCGGCCTCTATCCGCCCACCCCGAACCTTTCTGGTCTCGCCGTAGTCGGAGCACTGTGGCTTCCAGCTTCTCACTGGCCTCGGGGTCCCTCCGGATGGCTGCAGGAGGAGGAGGGAAGGTAAGACTAGGAAAGAGGTCAGACCTGAGAGGACCCCCCCACCCCCACCCAACTGCCACTGCCACCTGTCAGGTCCACAGCACTGACCCTGGATAACAGTCAGCACAGTATGGGGCCGGTCTAGGGAGATGGCCAGGCCCAGCGCCCGAAGGTACCGCTTCTCCTGGAGCAAGTTGTCCAGTTCTTGCTGCCTGGCAGGGGAAGAAAAGAGGAGGACAGGGCCACAGGACTGAGCCTGAAGGCAGAGCCATCAGGGGGCTGGCTAAGGAGTCAGCAAACCAGACCTGAGCTCCCACTGACAGTGAGAGCTGTGTCACTACCCCGAGCTTCAGACACCCCATTCCATTAGGCAGGGGTGATGCTAACATACCCCACCCAGATGGGACGGGATGATGCTGATGCATGGCAAGTGCCAGACACATTGTGGCACTCAAAAGAAGCTGGGTGGGGACCCTTCAGACTTACTTAATCATCTGCTCCTCCTGCTTGGCCCGCTCCTCTGCCTGCTCCTCCTCGGTAACATCCTGGGGTCAGACTAGGTAAGAAAGGGACGCCACACTGCCCTGCCCACTGCGTTCCGTGCCCACCCCACCTAAACCCACACACCTTCCAGAGGATGACACAGGAGTCGCTGGCACCAGTAAGAGCACGGTCATCCAGCTGGCTGCAGTGCAGCCCCCAGACCTTGTCCTGATGGGCGTCCAGTGTTCTCACACACTCATTGTTCTTGATGGTCCAGAGCTTCACAAGCCCATCAGAGCCACTGGGTTTGGGATGGGGATGGGGCTCAGCACTGGGGCCCATCCCCCAACTCACCACAGCAACCCCTGCCCTGTCCCCAGTCCACTCACCTGGACAGCAGCTGTGTACCACGGCTCACAAAGGCCACCTTCAACACAGAAGCATCGTGCCCCTCGAACGTCTGCAGGGTTGAGACAGGGAAGGCATGAGATGGCAGCAGGCGCGGGCCCGGCCTGGGGTGGGGGCAGCTTACCTTAAGGCAGCTGAAGTCGTGCAATGCCCAGAGCTTGATGGTGCCATCAGCTGAGGCAGTGGCCAGCACCTGGTCCATGGGTGAGAACTGGACACACCAGAGCCCACGCCGGTGGCCTGAGAAGACGCCCAGCAGGTGGCACTGAGGCAGGGCCCAGAGCTTGGCCGTGCGGTCCTGCGAGCCTGTGGCCAGCAGCTTGTCATTGGGGGCAACAGCTACACTATTGATGTCCTGGTGATGAGAACAGGAGGCAGCTCAACTACCCCTATCCCAGTAAGGGCCCTGCCACACTGCCACCCTGCCACCCTGGTGTACTGAATGTGTGGTCACCTTGTCATGGCAGCGTTGTGTGGTCTGGGCCTGTAGGAGGACAGGGCCACTGTCTGGAGCTGTGCTCTTAGACAGCAGGGCTTTGGGGAAGGGCCACAGCTTCACAGTGCAGTCCTGGCTACCCGTCACCAGGAAGTTCTCCTTCAGCCTAAGACCCAATTGGGGGAAAGGGGGAGACACCTGTTGAGCCCTTAGTAGCCCTGTCCACCAATGCACCACAATTCAGGCATGCAGGACCATGGTCCAGACTAGAGGGGCTGTCCCAGAAGGGAGATGGCCTCGAGTCACCCAAACACACCTCTGGGACCACTTGCCTGGATTTAAGCCCACAATGCCCACTCTTGGTACCACTACACCAGGCGACTTAGTCCCAATAATAGGACTCCTAGCCCTAAATGCAGGGAGCAACTTCACCTGGACCTTGTTCAGTGCCATTCCCTCTTCCGCAACACTCTGCTCCTTTTATCCACCCAACCCCAAGGCCACTACAGAGGAACCCTCCTCCAACACTGGCACCTGGGGTACCCCTGGTCCCTGTTCCTTATTCTAGATCTCTATGCTGAAGCTTCAAAGAGCAAGGTCAAAGACACCATCCTCTCCTCTCCATCTGCCTGAGCTGGAACTCCTCCACCTCTGTGACACTTTGGACCTCAGCCCTGGTCCATTACCTAGAGCAGCAGATGGTGCCCACGCTGTGTGTGTGCCCAGAGCCCTGAGCCACACAGGTCACCTCACCAGCCTTGTTCATCCTCCAGACACGAATGCTTTGGTCCTGGGGACAAGAGGTGTGAAGACAGAGGCTGGGCCAGGCTTTCCCACTGGGGACCCATAACTCCACACCTCTTGGGGCACCTCACCTTGGCACAGCTGGCAAAGAGCCACCCCTTCCGAAACACATCCAAGGCCAGGACAATGTCTGGGAGAAAGGCGAGGGAAAATGGTCAGATATCAATTAAGAGAAAAGGCTGCTGGGGGCATCAGCCTGGTACCCTCACCTGTGTGGCCATGAAGAATCTGGCAGGCTGACGTCTGTAGCTCAAATACTTTTAGACAGGGGCTATTGGAGGCCACAACAATGTGGGAGTCCTTGGGCCCAAGGAACCGAACATCCAACACCTCCTCACTGTAGCCAGCAAACTGCAAGGTAGAAAGACACAAGCCAGGGCCTGAGTGAAAAAAGGGCCAGCGTTTCCAGGCTATGGGTTGAGAGGTGGGACAGTGCTCACCTGTTTCTTCAGCTGCAGGGAGTGTGCTTCGTAGAGCAGAAGGTTGTGGTCGGCAGTGACACTAAGCAGCAGACCAGCAGCTCGTACCAAGGTGCAGTGAGTCAGCTCCCGCCCAGGGCCTGACATCTGCTGTTGTGTGTGTACACATTGCCCAGAGGCTGCCTCCCACACACGCAGAGTGCCTGTGCAGGGACAGAGGCTGCTGGGACTCACAGTCCCTGGGCCATCCCCAGCCCCTGCTGCCTGCCCTGGCCCACACACCTTGGTTGCCAGCTGTCAGGAAGTACAGGCCTCCTGTGGACTTCACACCCAGCTCGGGTGCCAGTTCCTCTGGCAACAGCACTGCGGCCTCCACACTCTGAGGAGGAACAGGTTCAGAGGTGGCAACCCCACCCCCACCCCCACCCCTGTCCCACTCACTGGCCCTGATTCCCCTGGTGCCCCTACCTCAAACACTGGGACAGTCCTCAGGGCCTGGTGGCTCCGCAGGTCCCAGACAATGCAGATCTTGTCCCGGCCCGAGCTGGGGGAAACAGCCACCTCAGTTCCCAAGTCTCAGCCAGGGCCCTGCCCTGCCTGCTAAGGCCTGGGTAGCTGGCTGCTGACCTGAGCATGGTGTGGCCATCAACACTAAAGGTCAGTGAGGTGACAGCACTGTAGTGGGCAGTCAGTACAGCCAGACATGACTGGTCTTGCAGTGACCATATGCGGATGGCGGCGTCTGTGGCTGAGGAGAAGAGCAGCAGGCGCGCTGGGTCCGGGTGGAAGGCCACCAAACTGCAGGCGAGTCAGGGGGGGTGGGCAGGTGAGCTGTGCCACCCCAGTGTGATGCCCTACTCAGCCAGTTTCTGCTGCCCCTACTCACTGCACAACACCTGGAGAACCCCGAAAGTGGTGTGTCCCGTAGTGCCGCACGATGTCCCAAACACGCACAGCCCCATCGCAGCCGCCTGTGGAAATGTGTTTGAGGTCAGGGGACTGGTGTGCCCACAGCTCCCTGCCCATGTGCCCGCCAGCTGGCCCACCCACCCACCTGGGGCCCTACCTGTGGCTAGTAGTGTGGAGGTGGGGTCAAAGGCCATGGTGACCACAGGAGCTGTGTGTATTGCTTTCCACAGGCGGATGACACTACCTTCTCTCCAGGCCCAGTGAGTCAGCAGCAGTGCCCGGCTGGCTGTTACTAGCACCTGGGGGAGGGTGCAGTTCAGCTTGAGTCGGGGATAGAGACATGGCCACCCATCCTCAGACTCAAAGTTTGGCTGGGAAGTACTGGAGCCCACCTCCTGTTCCTGCCCCACATACCTCATCGTCAGGGCTGAGATCAAAGGCAGTAATGTCCTCCTGGTCCTCCTAGGGGTGAGAGTGGGCACAAAGAGTACCATGAGACTAGGCTACCTTTCTACACTAGTCCCTAACCCTGGCTCTCCCCGTCCTCACCTGCTCCAGGCTCTGCAGAATGGTCCCTGAGGCCACATCCAGGATGTTGACTTTGGTACCACACACACAGAAAAGGTGCTGCCCCGTCTGGTCCAGCTGGTGACAGAGGGGTCTCAGCCAAGGTAACACTGCAGTCCCTGCCTGCCCCCCACCACTCTGCCCCTCCCTGGGCTGGTACCTGCACCTTCCCGCCCTTGTAGAAAGGTTCGATCTTGCGCTCCACAGCATAGCTGGAGAGAGGACAGAGGGAAAGAGTGAGTCACCCGCCCCTTGGTCCCCAGTGCTAAGCTCTGTGCTGGGTGCCCTTAAGTCCC